TACTAGTATTACTATCCTTGTGGGGACATTTGGTCCCCATAACGTGATAAATACCAGGTACACACACACACAGACAGAGCAAACATTCACAAAATTATGTTCATTAAATGTGAAAGAATTTAATTCACATGAGAAAGTACAAATATTTTGCACTGAGAAATTGACTAATTTTCTCTTATTAGAGTTCATAAAAGTAAAATATTTAATGGATATTTAATCTCATAGTTTTACCAAAGTTATGAATCAAATATCTCTGGTTATAATATTAATAACTTTTTAATAAAATACATTTTAAATTAATTATTAATAATACCTTTATTTATTTATTTAAAAAAAATGAAATTGCAGTTTTGACATTATCTAAATAAATTCAAGAAATTTATTTGATGATATTAAAATAAATTCTAAAAGAAATAGCTAACAATATATAAAATCTAATAATAATTATTTTAGTAATGTTACTAATACTTTTTATTTAATAAAAAATTAAATAAATGATATTTATTTGAAAAGCATTTCTGACATTATCTAAACAAAATAAGAAATTAATTTCATAATAATAAAATAATTAAATTCTAAAATAAATAATAAAAAAATATACAATCTCCAGTAATAACTGAATAAGATTCTTAATTAAATAATTAATTAATAATTGTTAAATAAAATAAAGGGTAATACAATTTACAAAAATTAAATGAAATCTAAACAAATAAAATGTAATTAATTAGTCAATTCCATTTGCTATTTATTATGTATTACTAATGAGTGATAGATCTGTGCATCTGTTGTGTGGTTGATCAGACATAGACATGTTGTAAAAGATGTTTTACAGCATTCGGAGATCACACCATGACAGAATGAGATGCCATGAAGAGACAAACAACATGGACAAAATACATCTGACACTTCACCTTTGACCCCACTGTTCAGTTTCACCCTAAAGGTCACAAGTGCAGCGTTTGACTGGATGTTTGTAGTGGTTTTTATTAAGAGGGATCATAAATAACGATGGCAAAACTGAAATAAAACAAGTGCACGGGGCTGCAGAAGGAAAGGCTTTTCAGATCTGGATTAAATTAAATAAAACTGAAAATAAATCATTCAGAGAACTGATGTAATGTTTGCACATTACAGAATCTGTTCTGAGACCTGCTGTCCATCTACTAAATCAGCATACGAGATGCAAGCTGGACAGGGATTTGAGTGGCTGTCTGAAAGATTTTCACATTCAGTAATTTAGTTCTGCTATAAACAGATGCTGTGTTAAATACAACATGATATGCTGTCGATTTACCACAGAACATACTGTAATACTGACTCCAACAGCATGTCACGCAGAGCTTCGGTTGTATTTAACTACAACATTCCCATGTAAAGAGTTGTACTGTCGGATAAAGACGTCCCAATAGATCATTTCTGGACAGTTGTGTGTGCATGTGGGAGGGTCTCAGAGACAGTCGGTCATGCAGAGAGGGACGGGGAATGGCGAGAGAACCACAGACGTACCAGAAGCGTTAGTCCTCATTGGTCACTGATTGTAATTCTGTGAAAAATAATCAATATCAGCAGAAGGGGTGGAGCCAGAGCGATGGGAAGATGTGCGAGACACACACGGTTAACATGGAGGAGACAGAAACATCAACACTTCTCCAATCCAAGCTAACCAGAGACTGACATCCAAAACCTCTGTCTGAAGATTTAACAGCCAATTATGAATTCAAAAGCATCAGCGATAAGTCATAATCATCTTAAGCCGTGATGGATTTTTAAAATGTATTTTTGCAATTCAGAGGTTTTGCAGATCATTTATCAGGGACTTTAAAAGCATTAAAAAGGTCAGAATGAAAGGTGTGTGAGTGACTGCTGGGAAGTGTGTGTGTGTGTGTGTGCGTGTGTGTGTGTGTGTGTGTGTGTGTGGGAGTGTGTGTGTGAGTGAGTGAGTGTGTGTGTGTGTGTGAGCATGTGTGTGTGTGAGCGTGTGTGTGTGTGTGTGTGTGTGTGTGGGAGTGTGTGTGTGAGTGAGTGAGTGTGTGTGTGTGTGTGAGCATGTGTGTGTGTGAGCGTGTGTGTGTGTGTGTGTGTGTGTGTGGGAGTGTGTGTGTGAGTGAGTGAGTGTGTGTGTGTGTGTGAGCATGTGTGTGTGTGAGCGTGTGTGTGTGTGTGTGTGTGTGTGTGGGAGTGTGTGTGTGAGTGAGTGAGTGTGTGTGTGTGTGTGAGCATGTGTGTGTGTGAGCGTGTGTGTGTGTGTGTGTGTGTGTGTGGGAGTGTGTGTGTGAGTGAGTGAGTGTGTGTGTGTGTGTGAGCATGTGTGTGTGTGAGCGTGTGTGTGTGTGTGTGTGTGTGTGTGGGAGTGTGTGTGTGAGTGAGTGAGTGTGTGTGTGTGTGTGAGCATGTGTGTGTGTGAGCGTGTGTGTGTGTGTGTGTGTGTGTGTGGGAGTGTGTGTGTGAGTGAGTGAGTGTGTGTGTGTGTGTGAGCATGTGTGTGTGTGAGCGTGTGTGTGTGTGTGTGTGTGTGTGTGGGAGTGTGTGTGTGAGTGAGTGAGTGTGTGTGTGTGTGTGAGCATGTGTGTGTGTGAGCGTGTGTGTGTGTGTGTGTGTGTGTGTGGGAGTGTGTGTGTGAGTGAGTGAGTGTGTGTGTGTGTGTGAGCATGTGTGTGTGTGAGCGTGTGTGTGTGTGTGTGTGTGTGTGTGGGAGTGTGTGTGTGAGTGAGTGAGTGTGTGTGTGTGTGTGAGCATGTGTGTGTGTGAGCGTGTGTGTGTGTGTGTGTGTGTGTGTGGGAGTGTGTGTGTGAGTGAGTGAGTGTGTGTGTGTGTGTGAGCATGTGTGTGTGTGAGCGTGTGTGTGTGTGTGTGTGTGTGTGTGGGAGTGTGTGTGTGAGTGAGTGAGTGTGTGTGTGTGTGTGAGCATGTGTGTGTGTGAGCGTGTGTGTGTGTGTGTGTGTGTGTGTGGGAGTGTGTGTGTGAGTGAGTGAGTGTGTGTGTGTGTGTGAGCATGTGTGTGTGTGAGCGTGTGTGTGTGTGTGTGTGTGTGTGTGGGAGTGTGTGTGTGAGTGAGTGAGTGTGTGTGTGTGTGTGAGCATGTGTGTGTGTGAGCGTGTGTGTGTGTGTGTGTGTGTGTGTGGGAGTGTGTGTGTGAGTGAGTGAGTGTGTGTGTGTGTGTGAGCATGTGTGTGTGTGAGCGTGTGTGTGTGTGTGTGTGTGTGTGTGAGTGAGAGTGTGTGTGTGTTGCTGTCAGGAAGCAAGCGTTTGCCGTTAGTGTTACAATGAGTCAAATCACACGCAACAGAGGACAAATTTAACAATGAACACAAATAAAAGCAAAGAGAACAGAAACATCCCTCAGGCCGTCCTGTGGACAGTTAGTAAAGCGTCTGATGTGAGCCGACGTGATCGAGACATTCATAGATGAGATATGCTGACTATTAGAGCTGGGTCATATAAAGCGTATTTATAAGCCTTTTGATGATATTTTGATGAACCATCATTTCAGTCAAACAATCATTCAAAATGCTAAATACAAGATGTAACTGTAGGGAAAAGATAGTTAAAGTAATCAGTTTGTAATTTTTGTAATACATACCTGTATATTAAGTACCGTTTAAAAGTTTGGGGTAAGATATTTTTTTAAAGAAAGTATTACTTAAATGTACACATTTTTATTTATATTATTAATATAAAACCTCAATACTTAAACAACTATTTAAAAATAAATCTTTTTTAATTAATATTTATAATTTACGGTATCGTTCAAATCATAAAGATTTCTATTCCAAATAAACGCTGTTCTTTTAAACCTTTTAATATATGAAAAATGCCACGCAGCGATTTCTGTCACGAGAAAAGGAAGGACCCTGAACCTAGTCTAATGATCCAATGCAAAATCCCAGTGAATGTTTGCTCTATCACCCAGCTCTACCGAGAACACACTGTGCATCAAATGGTTTAAATCTGTAACGTTTGAACGATAATAAGAGTTAGAAGCGTGGACATCTGAATCTGATTTGATGACACTTTGATTAACAATGAGCTGAGTTTCGGTGATGGCTGCTTATCGTTTAAACGTTGGTATGGTGACCGGTTAACTCACCCACACCACTGCTCTTACTCCAGCGGTTACAGTCTCACATTCCGCGGCTAAGAGCAAACGGATGTTCTTATTAGACTGCAGGACTAGAAGGTTAGTCTTGTTTGAGCATTTCTGAATGTTTCATGTGCATTGCGTATCATTTCTGCTGCACTAGCGGCATCAGACGGAATTGGTTGTCTTACATTGTTTGGACAAACATATAGACCCACATTTCATTAGATGGAGTTAGTGTTGCAGAAATTACACGCGTCTCAAATCTGAGCGCGTTATTATTGTTTTCCAGCACAAATGCATTGTTTCATTAGCAGTTTCTACTGTCTGAGGTAATTGAGTCTCACCTGGGCACGCTGGGAGGTGCGCGGTTAGGCCGGGACGGGACCTGAGGTGGGGGCCCGCCGAAGGGGTCCGGAGAGGCTCCCGGGCGAGAGGGAACGGGTGGCCCGCCGGCAGCAGGGGGCCCCGGGGCCGAGCCACGAGAACCTGGGCGTGCCGGAGGCCCCGGAGGAGGGGCCCGTCTCTGAGGGGTCGGGCTGGTCGCCGGAGACCTAACGGAGAAATATTGTTTTTTCATATTACGTTTTTTCTCACCTTTGTTTGTGCAGCAACAATAACAAATTTCTCTTCGGTGATAACACACCACACTTTGACTTAATCAAAGTCAATCTTATTTTATTTACCGCTACATATACAGTTTTGCATCACATTCTAAAAGTTAAATTTAAAGAGCAACAAATAATCAGAAATCAGCTTTTCTCATTTACATATTTAATTGTATGCATCTCTTATGGATTCTGTGGTAGCCAGTAAGCTCATTTCACATTCCAGCAGCAGGTGGCGCTACTGTCCCATTCTGTAACTAAGCATTAGTGGTGTGTTCATGGTGGCATTTGTTTTAAACTGGTGGAGGAGGCTGGTTCTGACATCATGACCTAAGGCTGAGCTTATGAATATTAATGAGTTCCTGCTGACATTGCTGGGGAACTTTCTTGAACTTTCCTCTCCAGAATATAATTAATATTCATGAGCCTAGCATTAAGCCAAATAGGATGAGTAAATTAAAAAGTACACTATATAGCTATTAGTATTGATAAAAAATATTTTTTATATATATAAAAAAAATATTATAATAGTTTATAATAATAAAGTATTTACAGGATATATTTATTACAGTATAGGATATTATTGTACTCCATAAACTTTTTCTACTTAAAATATAACAATTATTATTGTAGCTTATAATAATAATAATAATAAAGCATTTAAATTATGATTATAAATAAAGTGTCTAGCAGCAGAGAAGTAATTAAAAGTCTCAGTGACATATTGAACGTCTATTTCTACATCAAGACTTTCTTTCTCCACTGAAGTCATAAGTTCCTCGATTAGCCCATCAGTTTATCCGTGTGTCATCCATCTGTCCTCTCCGTCCTGAACGCACCTTCCTCCGGAGCCGGTGCGCTGCACCTGGAGCCAGGAGTCGTCCACAGGCGGAGGCAGAGAGGTGGAGATGGTGGTGGTGCTGATGTCCCCGATGATGTTCAGTGCTTCTCTGAGCGCGTGATACATGCGCAGCATCTCGTCGCGCCGCTGTGCTTGTTCGGCCGACTCCTCCATCAGCGTGTTCTGATCTCCACACGAGTACAGCTGAGCCAGCAGCTCCGCATTGATGAACTCCTTCGTCTGAGAGAGCAGAGACTCACTCACAACAGTGTTCTTTAGGATAATAGTCAGGAAACCTCATTTAAAAAAAAAATGTAAGTTTGCATATGTGACTCTGCAGCACAAAAGCAGTCTTAAGTCGCTGGGTCAAAATTATAGATTTTTCTTTTATGCCAAAAATCATTACGATATTAAGTAAAGATCATGTTCCATGAAGATATTTTGTAAATTTCCTACTGCAAATATATCAAAACTGAAGTTTTGATTAGCAATATGCATTGCTAAGAACTTCATTTGAACAACTTTAAAGGTGATTTTCTCAGGATTTAGATTTTTTCGAAAAATTGACCCTTATGACTGGTTTTGTGGTCCAGGGTAACATTTGTGTTTTTTGTTGAGTATCATATTTGATCATCAGGCTTTTATGGCTCATATAGTCTTGATACAGTGAGAATATGGAGGAAAAAACAGACTTTTATTCAGACTCAAACTGATCAATTTTGCTGCAGATGCTGATATTTCTGATGAAGTTCTGCTGCTTGTAATGTAAATCAATGAGATCTTTATAACAGTTCAGCAGATGCTGATATAAATAGCAGTCGTCACTCTATATCTCCAGTAATCTGTCTCAGTAAGATGAGATTGAACTGATCCAAACATATAATGCAGTGATTGAGAGCTGAAGAAATAAAGGCTCCTCAGAAGATGTGAGATGTTCTGGAGGCTTGTGAAGATCATTCCTCCGCTGAGGAACAGTGAAAGTAAAGCTTCTGGAAACAAACGCTCCTCAAAAGATCCTGAGGATCAGATTTGAGACTCTAAAACATGATTGATGGAGAATCAAGTAAAGCTGAGCTGCTTCAGTCCAGTAAGTGTTCATGTGGAGTTATTACTGCAGTTATTCTGACGCTTACTTGATCAAAATCAGTCAAGATTTGACACGAGAAGCTCCAGCTGAAGCTGGACGCTTGTACAATTACACTAAAAGAGCTTTTACATAAAGTCTAAACTATTAATCAGACGACAGAAGGCATGTAGTAGATTGTATGCAACAGGTTTAAAAGCAAAGTTTTGATCATTTAGAAATGTATGTATCAAATATGATTTATAATGTTAAGGACTGTCTTAGTTCATGATTTTTCATGAATCAACCCTTGTGGGGTTTGAACGAACAACATTTCACCACATGTGCACCTCTGCTGAACACAGACGAGCTTCTGATGCTGCTTACATTATTGATCATCAGATGCATGATGGTCTTGGGCATCAGGTCTCGTACAGTCTTGTTGACGATGCTCATGTAGGAGTCCACCAGGTTTCGGATGGTCTCCACCTGCCTCTCCAGCTGAGGATCCATGGAGTGCATGAAACTGTCCGAACCGTTCTCGTCTCCAGCGTCGCTCTACAGACAAACACAGACACAATCACACAAACACGGAAATCGGCAATGCAAAAGATGCATAAAAAATCTCAGTGCTACTCAAAGCTTGTACCTTTTCCTTCTCCTAGAGCGACGCCACGGGAAGCAGCGTGAGAGAAAGAGAAAAGCATTTTGAGGTGCATCATTTCTATTTATGCATTCCTACTCACATCTGATCAATCTGAACACACACCACCACGCGCTCAGCATAGACGCCGGCACGCAGGAACGAAGCCTTCCATCCGTCCACATCCTCCTGACTCTCGCAGGCCAACTCCAGCTGACGGTAGTCCTTATACACGTTCCTGTCATGGCATTACATGGAAACATGATAGTCAACATGATAGTCGAAAACTTTTTTATCCAGTCAAAGCTCTTTTAGTGTAATTGTACTGTTATAAAGATCTCATTGATTTACATTACAAGCAGCAGAATATCATCATATAAATATCAGCATCTGCAGCAAATTCATGTTTTTGTGAATAAAACTGAGCTGTTTTTCTTCTATATTCTCAATGTATTAGACTATATGAGCCAGAAAAGCCTGATACATCAAATAAGATACTCAACAAAAACACATGTGCATTTTTTTTAGATTAAATAAAAAAAAAGATCTAAAGGTTCAATAAACTGTTCCATTTTTTTTTTAATTATGATTTCATATGTCAGGCTTTACAGGGTTAAAATAGAGCCTATTGAAACTGTTAATGCTGATCTTACTGTGATTGATTAATCAATGCATCTAATTCTAAAGAAAAAATACATAAAAAATAATAACTTTCTCCATATTTGAAATAACTTTTCTCTCTGTCTTTTTTTTTCACATAAACATTCATTTTGTTCCCATTGAACATCTTGATTTACTTTAAACTAACGTCACATGACAAAAGGTTGTGGAAGCTTTTTTATGTTGGCTATTCGCAATAATTATTAAGGATTATGACCTCTGACCTTTGCTCAGTGTTGAACAGGGCAAAGTTGTGTTTGCTGGACATGAAGCCCTTCTCCACATCTCTGAACTTCAGATTGTCCACCTGTAGCATGTACTTCTTCTCTTTCTCCTGCGGGGGGGCAGAACAGAGTTTACTGAGATTAATGAAAAGTGTGAGAAAGATTGTGTGTTGATCATGTTTCAGTGACTTTGACTTGAAGTGATTCAGCTTGAAATTGCTTAAGACCTTAAAGAAAAGACAGACAAGTCCTAAGAAGTTACTAAAGTGTTCAGAGTAGTTTGTAGTTTGTTGCTATGCAGTTGGTCTTCAGTGACAGTAAAATAACACTGAGTTTCGATTAGAGAGAAGATAAAGTTAGTGCCCTATTTTATCGTCCAAGAGTTTAACACCATAAATCTGATCGGTTAACAGTTAATACGTAGTGTTATGGGTTTGTTGAGATCATTAACATGAGTGATCATAACAGTGATGAGTGATGAGAGGTAACAGAAAGAAAAAGTGCAGAGGAAAAAGAATGAGTGAGCATATTAAATTTTATTGGGTTTTAAATGAGTAAAAAATTATTACTGACAAATGGGCAAAACCTAGGATAGTGGCAAATTTAAAAAATGTAAAAATAACAACTAATTAGTATTTGGGGTGAAAGTAATTCGTTTTTGACTATTTTTGACAATTTATGTCATAAATTGATTTTTGTTGTAAATATGCCTGGCAAGATTGTTACACTGGAAGACATTTTAGTGCGTCTCTTCTGTAAATCAGGGGAAAATGTATGATATTTATTTTTTGCCCAGAAAAACAAAAACAAAAATACAATTACATTAAACAGAAAACTTTTAAATTAAATTTTTTTTTTTTTGGAAAAACAACAACAATTTAAAGCAGTATTGTTTTTATGTTTAAACCCTTTTTCGTCTTTGACCCATATATATATTTATTGAGCAGAGTGAATTTTAGTCTCCGCCACATGCGGCTGGAACTGATTAGAGCCATCAGAGCTAAAATAAACCGTCAGGGCGGTCGGTTGATGGTGGAGTCTGCAGGCTGCGGCTGGCCCTCAGGGGCCCGGAGCCCAGCGGGCATGGCACGGTATTCCCCTGCCCACCAGAGCGAGCACCGCGCCCTGCCGTAACGCCCCTAAAAACACACCAGCCAGCTGGAGCGGACGAAAAAAGAACGGGGCACGTGATGCTTCCCGCGGCGGAGAGATTTGTGATTGCTGCTCATGAGATGCTGTGAAGTTTCACTGAAGAATCAATTTTTCTTCTCCTAAAATTACAGAGATAAAAATACTTAACTATAATAACCCTGTTGAAAACATGAACTAAAATCAAAATCAAAAATAAATAATAATTGTTTGAAATGAAATAAATGTTAACTGAAAGCAAATAGTAAAATAATAATAATAATCATGTAAAAAAAAAAATCAGCTTATTTCAGCTAGTTGCCAAGGCAACATTTCAAATTTTTATTTGGTTTAAGTTGAAGTACTAAAACAGCTAAAACAAAATAAAATTCAATAAGTATATAGACAACAACAAAAAAAGACAAAAACACAACAAAATTACTAAAACTTTAAAATGAGAATGCAAAATGTAAAATTAAAAACTAATTCAGAATACTAAAAAAAAAACTATCAATTATACTAAAATAACACTGATTTCCGATTAGGTAGAGAAGATATGTTTATAAAATTAATGTGCAAAATTAGTGAGCATTTTTGAAGTTTGATTAATTATTTATTGATTTAGTATTTATTTTTGTAAATAATGTAGAATTGTAGTTGTAAAAATAATTTAGTACATATTTAATACATTTAGTTTATTATTGGAAGTAGTATTGTATGGTAAATAAGATTATATGTACAGTGGGTATAGAAAATAATCATATTTTGTTGCTTTGTTTTATCCAGCTGTATTTACTCAGTGCAACTTATAACATCCAAGTGAAAGATATAACAAAATGTGATTCTTTTAAAGAGGGTGATTCTTTTCTATTCCCATGTTCTGACTTTTTGTTGTTGTTTGTTTTCTCATTGCAATGAAAAAGTAGAGTCTTGAGTTTGAGTTCATCTTGAGATCTGACTTTTAACTGCACACTCTGAGCACAGCTTGAGAAATAGTTGAGATCTGAAATTCTGGAGGATTTACTGCCATCACATTTGGGATATTCTTTTCTCTGGGTCTTCATGAATGTCAGCGGTTTTCCGAGTGTGTAACGTGTGTCCGCTCGGTCAGATGCTCGTCATCAGATATAAAACACACAGTTGCCACGGTGCAGAGAGGATGACGTCATCCATGAAACCATAGCAACCGTCTCCTCCAGACACACACACACACACACACACACACACACACACAGAGAGAGAGTTTCTGACTCGGGAGCAGCCACTCAGAGTGACTCACACTTTTCCTTCCCCTCAGCCAGATTTTGGGAAGAGAGGCTTGAGGAAAGGAGGGAGACGGATTATATGAGAGAGACGAGTGCAGGGTAAAGAGGAAACAGATCACGGCTGTGCTCGTAAAGGAGCAGTTCAGAGAAAAACGAACATTCTGTCCTCATCTCGTTACAAACCTGTATGACTTTCTTCCGTCTGGGAAACACAAAGCAGAGCATTCACTCTGATGCACAGCAGTCAAGCTCTAAAAAAGAATCATAACAGTAGCCCAGATAATGTACGCTATATTTTAATACTTTATGATGGCTTTGTACAGAAAACATAAATATATTTTATGTTCCACAGAGGTTTGTAACGACATGATGGTGAGTAAATGAGAATGATCCTTTATGGCTGAACTGTTCCTTTCAAAATAAAAGTTTCTGTTTAAAAAAAACAAAACATTTTATTCACTAGATCCCAAACTAGAAACCAAAACACATACAGTATAATGAAACATCAAGAACTTTTTTTTTATTCTTACAAAACCTGTCAAAATCCCATTTTCACTAAAAAAAGTACAAACTAAAATTAAGTTGATATTTAGAACCATTAAGATTTTTTGCATTTTGTGATTATAATTTTAATGAGAATTCATTCGATTTTCCCCTAAATACTTATTATGATGCAAAAATTATATGATATATTATTTAGATTAAGTATTAGTTTATTATGTATTATACTATCTGCTGTGGTGAATTTAATGTTTTATTTAAAAAAAACTAAATAATTTATATCATGTTAGAAAACACAGAATTCTGTAACCTATGAAGATGATGGTGATATGAAATGGTTTGACATGTACAGTAATTTTGTTTCTCTTTTTCTTTCGTCACGTCAAGCATTAGTGCTCAAGGTGCAAAACGCAAACAAAATAAAATAATAAAATGAACACAATTAAATTTTTTTTTTGAAGGATGAAATGTGACCCAGCAAATAAATAAATAAAATAAAAAAAATTTATAAACTATATTTTTAAGAGTATATCTGCCCTGACATTCCAAACAGACCCAGACATCAGTGATTAAAAAACAGCATTGAATCTGTGTCGCCAGCTCAGCACTATTCTTATCAAAACACTGTGTGTGTGTGTGTGTGTGTGTGTGAGAGAGAGAGAGAGAGAGTGTGTGTGTGTGTGAGAG